AAAGATGAACTGCAATTTGTACACTGATAAAATGACATTGTGATCCATAAATGAAAAAAAAAATACAGCTATTAATAAAAGTAGAAAACCATATCCATTTGGCAATGTTTGTTAATTAAATAAACTGGGCAGGGCAACTCAGGAGCCTGGAAAATATGTCTCATGAAGAGAATTGGACAACTGCAAATGAGAAAAGGTGACCAGAGATCAGAAGAAGAGACATGGAAACACTTTTCAAGTGCCTGAAAAGTACATTAAAAAGGGGTGGGGCTTCTATTGTTGTCACAGGCACCTTCTTGACTTTTTTGACCCCCCTTCCCAGATACACCTGGGTGACAGACAAAAGCCATTCTCCCCCCCGCCCCATCCCACAGAGTAAGCTACGGAACAATGGCCTTAAGTTACAGGAAGGCAGATACTAGTGGACGATTAAAAGAAAATTCCCAGCTGTCATGGTTTTTGATGGTGGAGCAAATTACAGAAGGAGAAGGTGAGTTCCTTTTCTCTGGATGCCTTCGAGAGAAATTGCACAAACACGTGTCGAGGATGTGTGTGTTTATTTATTTATTTATCTGATTTATATGGCCGCTCATCTCTGGGCGACCCTGGGTGGCCCGCAGTATTTAAAATCAAAATTCAAATACGGCGTGAAATATCAATACGCAATGGCCTGTCAGTTTGCAACAATAAACTTACTTACGTCAATATGTTTAATAGCACCGAGTGTGCCACGGTGAACAACTTCACAGGCTTCAACTAATAATCTGAACCCCTTGAACACATGCAGGTCTTCAAGGCTTTGAAAAGGGAAATTAAGCCATTAATTTTTGAAATTAAGCCATTAATCATGGTTTTCCAACTACAGTGGTGGGATTTGCAAACCATGTTAATTCTTCAAGGCAGTCGGAATGAAGACGTAATGGTTTCGACAGTAAAAAGTAAGCTTGATGGTTGGTTGCAACTCCAAGTAACATGTTCAATGATTTCTTTATTTAAAATGTTAGCTAGCAGCTGCTTGCTTCCGCACCACAGTCACACTCCTAATGGGGTTTCTTTGGTGGCTTTATTTCCAGTCTTTAAATTGCTACAGAACTTTTAATTTCTGGGGGGCCTGCATGCCTAAAAACAAGCATTTAGTTTATAACTTCAGTGTAATTAAAATCACATTACTTACATTTAACAGTACGGTGTGGTAAGAACTTCAGGAAGCAATTGGGGAGCTACATCCAAGGTTTTGGGGTGCTTCTGGGCCTGCATGCCTCTGCTTTAAAAGAGCCCCCCAACTGCCAGGGAAGAGTTAATGTTAGACAATCTTTGGCCTTGCACGCAAATTAAAAAGGACCCCACCCTTATGAGGAATATGACCTGCCACTGTATTTTCTCATATGGCTCTCTGGTCCAAATTGTCCCCTTTGGGTCAACCTTTGAGAATCGTTTTCTGCAGGAAAAGACCCTACAGGAAGACAGTTGGATTAGCCGATGGAAGCCCAAAAGCTGAAAGAATTTGGCGAGCACTAACAAAAGTTATTGAAAGGTACAAGCTCTTGTGAACATGGACTGAACGTGCACTCCTTTCTGAAGGCCATGCGATGGGAAGTTCTATCTCCAGTGTTGACTTGAGGGGGCAGTGTTGTATTTGAGAAGACCTCCCAACTTCTGTTTTTTTTTCTTTTTTAAAGTTTCTCCCATATGCCACATGGGAACAGAAGCTCCCCTAGATGTGGTCTCCTCTTTTCACTTCCACTTTTTTGTTTTTAAAGAGCACTATCTCCGGAGTTTATAAAGGGGAGTGCTTGAAAAAGGGAACTTGGGGCACCAAATTCCTTCCGTTTGCCTTGTTTCCCTAATCTGTGGAACCCCATTGGGTGGTGTAAGCAGTTTAGGCATTTGCCATAAAAGGGAAGGGGACCTTTTAATGACAAAAGTAATGTGATTATCCAACTGAATGGGGGGGGGGGGTTTAAGGCTTAAAGAAAATCTGTTAGAATAGCTGAATGTATCAGCTTAATCTTTTCTCTAAGGTGGCTGCTGGAAAGCATTTCTGAAGTAAATGCTTAGTCTTCAGAGGTAGGCAGTAGCTTGCAGTCATTTGAAATGCTTCTTAAAAATAAAATCACTGCAGAACTTGGTGGGGTGGGGGTGGAAATCTTTTAACATTCACAAACCGAAGTAGGTGAGACAAAGCTCTTTGCTCCACACGCTACAACTGCAAACCTCTTGCTGCTTGTCCGTAGCAGCCAACTTCAGGGATTTTTCTCCTTGCTTTATCAGAAATGATTTAGCCAGGTTTGTGTCTGATGTGCAAAAGGCATCGTGGTGTGTGTTTCTGGTATATACGGTGATCCCGTTTGCTGTCTTCAGATGGGTTTCTGACCTGGGAATCCGGAGGGCTCTTGGTATGGGGAAGACTTAGAAGAATTATTCCAGACATTACCAAAAGTAGACATAAGCTATTGGCTTGGCATGTGTGTGTTCGATTCTTAGTTCCTCCTATACAACATAAAGTTTGATGGTATGATTTTTTTGTTTCTGTAAATAACATGCAAAACACAGATGTTAAGGCTCTGACAGGTTTGCCTTACTTAAGTCCTCAAACCTTCAAAATGCTGATTTGTTGTTGGTGTTTAAGGTGTGCCTCCTTTAACCCCAAATGTTGGCCTTTCCTGCCTTGGATCAAAGCATGTTTGGCTTAGAAAGACAGAATGACTGGCCTTTTTCATGAATAGTTTAATAAGCCTGTGTAATGCTTCAGAAACAGTTCCCAGAGCATGTACAACGTAGCACCTTTTGGCAACTCTTTAAAGCAGCCGTATCTCTTCCTGGGATCACGTTTATTTTATTTATTAAAAATTTTAAACCACTTAACAGCCAAAGCTCTCTGGGCAGTTTATAATAAAACAATACTAAAAAATACAATTTGGACAGAAACAGATGCAATAAAATGGAGTAAAATGCAAAATGAAAACGCTGTAGAAATCAGGCAGCAGGGAGGCTATCATTCAAAATCTACAACAATGCAAGTTAAAAATGCAATTAAAAGCCAGTTAAAAAGCATGATACTCATGTCCTCAGTCAAAGCTTGCTGGGGAAGGTATTCCATAAATTGGGGAGGGGGGCGAGAGAAAAAGCTCAGATGCTATGTTCACATCTCTGTATGCTCCAGAGATCCCTTCTGGAGTTAAATCCACGCTTAATATTTTAGGGACTTCCGCTAAGCCTTTCTAGCAGCTTGTGTAGTTCTTAGCTAACACGTTTCCAGCAGACATTCTTTGTGGTTAATTTTTGACGGAAAAACAGCATCCTCTAAAAATAAGTGTTCATTTTCTCACTGTGGTGATAATCTGGAAACTTCTCACATGGACGAGAAGGGTGCGAAGCAAGAATGTGGGTGCAAGATGATCCACCCAGAGGAGTTTCCGAGCACAGCCTTCAGGCCAAGCTCTTGATGGCGAGTTTGGACCATTTTAATGCTAAGGGAGCATAAACTAGACGTGTCTTGAGTGTCTCCACACCTTGGATCCAAAATGCCGGACAACAGGGGAGTCTTGCCAAAAACAACAGGCTTGACCGGATCCTTGGTTTTGAAATCAGTGCGAGCCTCTCGTTTTGCAGACAGATGAAGTCAGCCTCTTCACGTCCAAAGAGATCAATAAGTGGGAGGCTGAGAGAGGGCAGTTCAATAAACCGAGCGGCTTGAGTTATAGTAGTTCCCTGCCGAAATGCTGGGTCACCAAGTAATTTACAGACGAGGCCCAAGAACAATTTGGACAGCCAAGGGCCCCCACTGTCTGCTGACTCCCGCTGCTCATATTATTAATACAATCAACAAACAGCAGGGCGCTGGAACAGAGAAAAGAAACTCAGCTCTAGCAACCAAGCTGAAGGTGGCCACCGATCAGTGGAAACTAGAATTAGGAGCTAATGGGGAGGTGGAGAAAGAAAAGTTAGGAAAAGTCCTGATCTCCACTTTTACAAACTTGTGCTGGTCAGATTTCTGAAGTTTAGGGAGCCAGCTATAAAGATCCATATCCTTGTCCATTGGTGGATTTGGAAGAGTCTCTAGGCACCCCACAATCATTTTAATTTAGGATCCAGCCAGCAGGGTTTGTTTAATTCACCCGTTTTTAAAATACAGCATGGTAAAGAAGGTTCAGCTCTGTTATTGGATCAGTCTGAAAGAAAAATTGGGGAATGGAAGCTGGCAGGAGAATATGGCCAACTTTAAAAAAAAAAAAAATCAGTCTTTGGTCCCGTTGCCTTTCAACAGTGGTTTTGTGCACCTTCAATCCAGAGGTAATTTTTTAAAACCGGATGTTGGGATTCGGCGTAGCAAGAGGGTGTCAACAGAATGAAAATAGGGGAAACCTGGATGGAGTTAAGGATGCTGTTAAAGCTTGGAGGGACTTATCTGCCGAAACTTCTAGTTTTCCCAGCTCAGCTATTTGGGTGCATGAATGTGGCACAAGCCGTGATGATGTCACACGGGTCACAACATCCTCACACCAATGCTGCATTATTATGCAATTTTTGTCCCTTCCGTGGTGATGTCTCTGGCTTCCCTTTATTTCCTTCCCTGCAAACACCCATAACTTGGGGCTTAAGCAACTAATTTGTTTTTTAGGAGCCAGCATGGATTTCATTGCACTGAGTAAACAACCCTGATGGTGCCCAGGGCAGAGGATCTTAGAGATAAGATGGGAACCAACACAGCTAAGAGACCATGCTGGCTTTCTACCTTCATCCTTGCTTTTTGGATGTTGGGCTGGCTTGCTTGTAAAGTGGTCATCTTTAAGATGAAAAGTAGAAGTGACTTTGACGTGTC